ATTGTAGGGAAAGGCAGGGACTGAGGCTGAGAAGAGGAGTGTAGGAAAGGCCAAAGATAAACTTATGGGATCTCTAGGGAAGTATGGAAGCATGTACATGTTGTAAAAGCCATATAGGCAATTCTCGTGCACATCCCTGGTTAAGAACCATGCTGTGGATATCCCCATCTGGCTAAAATGAAGTAACAGGAACTCTGCCTGAAACTGTTTTTGTTAATTAAAACAAAACAAAACAAAACAAACAAACAAAAAAACAGTACTAGAAACAACAATTTTCAAAACACCAAGCATTAGGCAATGATCGCTTATAAAGTGAAACAGATGAGGAGATTGAGAGAGTTTTCAGTCTATCATAGGGAGGTTTAACCGAGATAATGCTAGGTAGACTTGTCTGAGTTGAGCAATGGAACTGAGAGTCTAGCGAGAACAAAAAAAAGTGAGAGTTTGCAGAGTACTGGAGAGGAGATGGCTCCACAGGGAAAGAACCCTGGTGTTTTCAGCAGAGTACTGATCAGAACAAGCTTGTGAAGAACTACCTGAGGTTAAGGAAGAAAGTTTCCAAAATGATTATAAGGAACAGTTCCTGATGCACATACAGGGCTAGGAACAATACCTGTTTCTACCAGCCAGACTAGAACACTCTTAATTCATGGTTACTGAATAGAGTTTTCAGGAAAGTTTTGCCTCATTAGTGGGGAATCATTTACCCTATACTGAGCAGTGCTTTGGACCCACCTAAAACATGAATGAAGACTCCAAATGATCAAATTATTCCTGAGTAACTGCATGCCAGGACAAGCTCAAAAGATTGATTGGGATTTTTAAAAATGAGTGCATGTTCACAATGTAAATGCACAATGTTTGACATCCAATCAAGGATTACCAGGCATGCAAAGAAGTAGGGAAACATGACTCATAATGAGAATAATTAATAGAAGTCAACCCAGGGTTGACCAGGTTATTAGAATAAACATAAGACATTAATACAGTGATTATAAATGTTCTGTAAATAGGCATATAGAGACATGGAAGATCAAACTTGGGCCTCATCCCAAATGGGTGGAAGGAGACTTAGGATAATAAGTTCCTTTCTGAGTTATCTGTGGGGGCCCTGTGGAGATGCCCAGTGAACAACTGGAACCGGTGAAGAGAAGCCTTGTTAACGATGACATTCATAGGTACCTGTACAGAGGACCAGCCAGCCAACAGTCTTGGTCTACTTCTGACTCAATAAGTCAGGATTTGTTAACATTTCTCCAAACTTTATGCTGGTTGTGAAGTCTTATGGCCATGATCTAACGAGCTCCCCATTTTCTAGGACTTAGTCTTTTGCAGCAGAAGGGAAATGAGGATTTCAGGTTGCTAGTGGCCCACCTGAGGCATAGTTGAGAGGCAATGAGGAGTCGCATGCCCGACAGTACACGTTGGGAGGAGAAAGATGGAGCTGAAGCTGGAATGATGGGCATTTCTGGAGGAAGGCTGGTGGTGAGCTCTCGAGTTATTTACCTTAGCTCTCTTTTCCTCTGCAGTGGCTGTAAGTGCGGCTGAAGACACAGGCCATCCCCAACTTGTCTTCTCCCAGGAAGGGAAGTATGTGAAAAATGGAGCACCCGCCAATTCTAGGCCATTACTTTCTTCAGCATGGAACTACTTCACTGGATGGAGGAATTCCCAGCAGAGCACACACTTTGTAGAGAGATTTCAACACTTACCGTGTGTTTTGGGGAAAAATGTTTTCACTTCAGGGAAACATTACTGGGAAGTGGAGAACCGAGATACCCGGGAGATTGCTGTGGGGGTGTGTCAGGAGGACATCATGGGGATTGTTGATAACGCAGAAATGTCTCCTCACTTGGGCATCTGGGCTATTTGTTGGAGTCCTGCTGGCTATTGGCCCCTCACAGGCTCCCCTGTAAATCCCGCCAAGCTAGAGTCAGCTCTTCACCGGGTGGGCATTTTCCTAGATTATGGGGCTGGGGATATCTCGTTCTACAATGCTGCGGATGGAATGCACCTACACACTTTCTCTTGTTCTTTTGTCTCATGTCTCCGGCCGTTTTTCTGGTTGAGCCCGTTAGCATCTTTAGTCATCCCACCAGTGACTGGAGGGAAGTGATGATGGCTGTTCTTCCCCACCTCAAGAATCCCTGTCTATGTCTCAGGGACACCATTTCTTGGCCCTCCTCTTTAACTTCATAGTGATCCTCATAGCACATCAGTACTGTCCACTCAGAACTCCAGTTTTGTGTTCTGTTTGTCTCCCTGTGTGTCCTGTGCATAGACAGATATGGCACATCCTATTGCCTTTCTAGCCACTGGCCCCACTTCTCAGCTTCTCCTCTGGCACTTTCTAATGGAACCGCTTGGTGTCCGCCCTCTGTGGCTTCAGGAGAAGCAGTCCCATGGGAGGTAATTCTGGCCAATGAGACAGGTTGGCAAGTTTTCCAGGGTGGGGGAACTTCCTGGGGAATATTTTTGTAGCCTCTAAAAAGAGGTATTTGGAAAGCCACAGCTCTTTTCTATATTAGCATCTGTCTTGGAACTGAGGAGAGTACAGTAACAGTGGAAAGGAAGAAAAAACATGGTCTTTGCTGGCATCAAACTGTTGGAATTTCCCTAATCCCAAACTACTTGTTATCTGAGATTATTGCTCCCTTTTTGTATGAGGCGATTTTAGTTGCATTTCAGTTACTTGTAGACTGAAGTGTCCCAACTGGTGCTATAGGCACATAGTGTGGACATCCCACGTTGAGGCTTATCTCATTTTTTCCTGAAACTTGAAAAATGTATGGAATCCACATTCACTTCAATTGCATAATTACTCTTTCCAGTAACTACTGATATCCTTCACTTTTCTGGATCAGAAAACTGACTCTGCCCATGTTACTGCTCTCTTCACCTGACCAGGTCTCAGCCGTCAAGTGTTCATTATTGTGTTAGTTATCATAGATTGTATATACAAGTTTATTGACATAGTGAAAGTGTTGAAAAACATTTAAGTATTTATACTGTGCTAGCCTCTTCACATAATGATTTCATATGACTCTCTAACAGCTTGGTGAGATGGAGATTAAAATCCTATTTTTACAAGTGAGAAAACAAACCTTTAGAGTAATTCACTCATTATTGCTTAGCTGGCAAATGGGAGTGTTGGGATTCAATTTAGATCTGTTTGAGATGAAAGTCACATTATTTTTTTCCTACTCTGCATTTATTTGTAAGTATTTAGAGAATGCAGATTATGGGTCAGCATAAATTTGTTTCTTATTTTCTTACATTTTATCTTATATATGTGTTTTTCGCTTTACCTTTATACTCTCAATTGTAAGCACTCAAGTGTATTGTGGAAGTTACTGGATAGTTATTTTAAAAATAATGATTGTTGCTCTCATTATAAAAGTCGTGCACTTCTTGTAGAAAATTTGGAATGTACAAAGTGTAAAGAAAATTAAAGCCATCAGTGGTCCACGATTACTAACATGTTGATGTGTTTTCTCCCAGATTTTCAATATTTTCTGGAGTGATTTAACAAGGCTTCTTTCAAAACTTCTAGCACCCTCCCTAACCCTTCCCCTGCCTGTGTCCCAGCCCATTCTGGCTTATCTTCCTATTCTGCCAGGCCAGTGTGATTTCATCTAATGATTTCTGCTCAGTTCTCCTTCACTCTCCAAGTTACTGGAGGCTGTGAGTTGAATGTGTCCTCCAAAAAGATATGTTGAAGTCCTACCTGTGAGCATGACCTTATTGGAAATTAAATTGAGGACATTAGGGTGGGACTAACCCAACGTGACTGGTATTCTTATAATTAGAGGGAAATTTGTAAACACACACACACACACACACACGAAATGCCATGTGAAGGCTTGGAATATGGCCATAGGAGAGATGGGAATTACGCTATCACAAGCCAAGGAAAGCCTGGGGCTGCTAGAAGCTGGGAAAGGAAGGAGGAATCCTCCCCTAGAAGCTGCCAACACCTGTGGACTCCTGGCCTCCAGCACTGAGACCATAGATTCCTGTGGGGTAAGCCAGCCAGTGTGTGGTGCTTTTTAATGGCAGCCCCAGGAAAGGAACAGGTTCCATCAGGACTTCTAGCACCTGCCTTGTTCATTTCCAGTCCTTGGGAAACTTGTCAGTACCTTTGCTCCTCTCCTTGTTCTGGGCTGTTGAACTAGGTTGATTGGCTCTGCTCCAAAGTCTCAATTGACTTAAAGGGGGCTCTTTGAGCTACTTGGTAAACAAACTTCAATTTTTCATCCCTTGACTTCCTTTTATATATCTGGTGGCAGTGATTCCAAGCTTTTTCTTCTTTTCTCAAGCTTTCATATCACTGTAGCGGGGATAAAACTTTACTTTTACCTATCTTAGGTTTTCAGATGTAATAGCTTTCAATTTTACTTGGAGTTTTCTTTGAGACTTTACTATGTTAAATGTATTAACTGCCTCATTAGGAGGGGCATTTATTATGTGGCCTTGAGAAAGCTTATTTCACCACAGACACTTTAGCTTTGGGAGCAGAAATTAACACTTCCCCCAAAACAGTTGGACAATGACTTTTTTTTTTTTTTTTAATCCTCACTGGAGGATATTCTTTTCCATTGAGAGAGTGAAAGGGAGGGAGATGGAGGGGGGAGAGAGAAACATCAGTGTGAGAAAGATACATGGACTAGTTCTGGTTGCCTCCCCAATGGGGAACCCTCAACTGGGGAGGGGAGAGTAAACTCTCACTTGAGGTACATGCCCTTGATAGGGAATCTAAGCCTTCAGTCTGTAAGTTGATGCTCTGACCACTGAGCAATTTGGCCAGGGCTGACAATGACCATCCTACACTTTCTCCACTTGATCTTGACCATCTCAGATTTCAACCTAGGCTTGTGCTGCACAGCCCCCGAAGTTGGTGATACATGCTTTGTTTCTGTAAACTATTCATGCTGTGTGATCCTGAATAGGGCTCTGTTAAAGTGTCCCGTCCCGTCCCCCCCCCCCCCACCCCCCCCCCACCCCCGGAGACTGGGCTTTTGCTATGGAAAACACTCTGGGCACATTTTTCAATGATTTCTAGTCCTCTTCTCACCCGCGCCCCCCCCCCCCCCCCCCCACGCCAGAGCCATGAGGGGGATCTTTTTCACCTTTTCTCTGAGAATTTGGTGGGATTCCTGGAGGTAAAACTAATGATATATGTGCCCCCTTTCCAAAACTGCAACCAAGTTTCTCACTCAAGCCAGTGTACTCAACCTTTGTCAAATCTGCCAATTAAGCTTATGGCTCTGGTGGGGTTTTGCTTCAGGTAAGTGAATCTGAGCTTCAACTCTGGATCTGTCTACCCAGATTTTGGGGTGGCAATTTGCCAGGCAGCCTCAGTTCTCTGCTGGGTCCGAGAAAAGCCATTGCTTTACAGCGCGCTCGCGCGCTCTCTCTCTCTCTCTCTCTCTCTCTCTCTCTCTCTCTCTCTCTCTCTCTTTCTCTCTCTCTCTCTCTCCTCTCTTTAAGGATATGAGTTATAACTTCCAAACTTTTTACATATTGGATCTGAAACTCGAAGTCCTCTATCATAATATTAAAAAATGTTTCTTGTAGACCTCTATAATGGTTAATTTTGACTGGGCTAATGGATATCCAGATGGTTGTAAAACATTATTTCTAGGTGTGTCTGTGTGGGTGTTTCCAGAACAAATGAACATGTGAATCAATAGACTAATTAAAGAAGATTGCTCTCACCAATGTGGGTAAATATCATCTAGTCATCTGAGAGCCTGAATAGAACAAAAAGGGAGAGGGAAGACAAATTCGTTCTCTGCCTCTGCTGGGACATCCATCTACTCCTGCCATTGGACATTGGTGCTCCTGGTTCTTAACCTTCAGATGTGGACTGACATGTACCCCATTGGTCTCTTGATTCTTTGGCCTTTGGATCCCACTGGAACTCACACCATTAGTCCCCATGATTCTCAGGACTTTGGACTCTAACTGAATTATACCACCATCTTTACTGGTTCTCTAGCTTGCAGACAGAGGACTGTGGAATGTAGTCTTCATGATCATGTGAGTCAATGGCCAATAATTCATCCTATTGCTTTTGTTCCCCTGATCAATACAATCTCATATAGTTGGGTCTTACTTTAAAAAAAAAATCCAGTCTGTAAATTTTTAACTATTCTTAAATCATTCACCTTTAAATTTATTGTATAGTGTATTAACATATACTATCTTGGGGTGGGGGCAGCTGGGGAGTGGTCAATGGGGGAAAATGAGTTTTATGTAATAGTACTTTAAACAATAAAGAATTTTTAAATAAAAAAATTGTATGGTATGGATTTAAAAAAAATATGAGCTATCTTTCTAGCAAAGGCAAGTGAATCTTTGATTGTATATCATTGCACTTAATGGCACAACTAGTGTAGGATTCTGTGAGCTGCCCTTGGACACTCCTAAAAAAAATATTATTACTAAAAATATATACCATCTTGCTAGCTGTTCTCTATTAATTTCATTTCTTCTATGTTTCTTTTTCCTTTTTCTGCTTTCTCTAATTTTGCTGAGCATTTTTGAAAAATCATTTTATCTCCTTATATACTTACTAAACTTCTTTTCGTCATTGCCATAGGGTTTACAATTCAAACTATGAATCTACCTTCAAATAATGCCACTTCATGTAAGGTGAAAGACTGTAACAATATGACCTTGATTCCCAGTACTTGTTTGATTGTTACACATTTCACTTCTTCATATGCAATAAATATCAACAAATGGTTGCTATTACTACTTTAAACACTTACTAGCTTTAAACATCTTCTGGTATGTTGAAAGTATGAGGGGGGTGAAATGACAATGTGGGAAAAAAGACAATGAAGAAACCCAGGTAACTGAGGACTTATAAGATCTTTGGAAAGATATTTCATAGAATACCCATGCTGATGAATTAGAATCTATAGACTAGATCCATAGGCATCCAAGAGAAACTCACAGGAAAGATTGAGAAAATCACTGCTCCTCTGGAGTCTGGATGCTTAGTACAGCCTTTTTTCTTATTGACTTGGTTGCTAAGAATGTAGGAGATAGGTAATTCTGAAGTGAAAAAGATTTTCAGAGTTAAAGGGATTAGGGTCCTCTAAATAAAATTGAAAGCACACTTATCTGCTCTTCCTCACAGTTTTGTCATCATTATTATATGGTGTAGACCTACAGAATGTTTCTTGACAGATCATCCTGGCTTTGTTTTTTCATTTAGCATGACACACACACTTGCAGGTCTTGCATCTTCATCCATTGTAAAAATCTCTGTCTTAATTGAACTGTCTAATTTATTTATACTTAATGATATAATTGGTATAGTTGAGTTAAAATCTACCAACTTTTTAAACTTTTTGCAAGATTGGTTCAATGTCTGCCAATTAACATGATACGCAACATAAACAAAATGAAAGATAAAAATCACATGATCATATCAATAGCTGCATAAAAGTCATTTGACAAAATCCAGCAGTTATTTATGATAAAAACTCAGCAAAGTGGGAGTAGAGAGAACATACCTCAATGTAATAAAGGCTATATATGACAGACCCCATAGCTGACATCATATTCAACCAGGGTAAACTAAAACCGTTTGTTTCCCTTAAGATAAGGAACAAGACAAGAATATCAATTTCACCAACCTTATTCAACATAGTCCTGGAAGTTCTAGTCATAGCAACCAAGCAAAAAGAAAAGCATCTATTGATACATTGGAAAGAAGTAAAACTGTCATTATTTGCAGATGACATGATATTGTTTATAGAAAACCCTAAAGTTTCCACCAAAACACTACTAGAACTGACAAATGAATTCAGTAATTTAACAAGATGCAAACTAAATATTCAGAAATCAGTTGCTTTTAAAAAATATATATATTTTATTGATTTTTTACAGAGAGGAAGGGATAGGGATAGAGAGTTAGAAACATTGATGAGAGAGAATCATCAATCAGCTGCCTCTTGCACAACCCCTACTTGGGGATGTGCCCACAACCAAGGTACATGCCCTTGACTGGAATTGAACCCGGGACCTTTCAGTCTGCAGGCTGACGCTCTATCCGCAGGTTTGGGCTGTTTTTTTTTTTTTTTAATACACCAATAATGAACTATCAGGAAGGGAAACTAAGAAAACAATTCCATTTACAATTGCACCAAGAGAGGTAAAATACATAGAAATAAATTAAACCAGGGAGATAAAGGACTAATACTCAGAAAACTATAAGACACTGAAGAAAAAATTGAAAAACAAAAACAAATAATTGGAAGCACATTTCATGCTCATGAAAAGGAGGAATTAACGTCATTAAAATGTCCATATTACACAAATCCATAGATTCGACACAATTTCTTTAAAAATATCAATGGTGTTTTTCTTCTTTTTTTAAATATATTTTTTATTGATTTTATACAGAGAGGAAGGGAGAGAGATAGAGTTAGAAACATTGATGAGAGAGAGTCATCGATCAGCTGCCTCTTGCACACCCCCTACTGGGGATATGCCCGCAACCAAGGTGCATGCCTTTGACCGGAATCGAACCTGGGACCCTTCAGTCCCCAGACCGATGCTCTATCCATTGAGCCAAACCGGTCCCGGCTCAATGATGTTTTTCATTGAATTATTTTCATAGATCAAATAATTCAAAAACGTATATAGAACCACAAAAGACTGAATAGGCAAGCAATCTTGAGAAAGAAGAACAAAGTTGAGGTATCACACTACAAGGCCATAGTAATCAAAATAGCATAGTACAAGAATAAAAACAAACATATAGATTAATGGAACACAATACAGAACCCAAAGTCTTGTAGCTGAGCCTTGATTGCTGTTGATGTCACTGGGAGGAATTGACATCCAGGCCAATTGGCTGTGGTGCCCAACTGTGACTACAGTGGGAGAGCTGCTGTGCGGGAGACACCTTATGGAGCAGGACTTGCTTCAATGGGGCTTTGGTGCTCAATGAGTCTGACCCTTAGGTGTGTCACTTTTGGATGTGTAGAGTTGTAATCTGGTATTGCCTGATACTGACTACTGGGTATACTGGCTCTTGGGTTTCCAGGGAGGTGTAAAGTAAGCCACACTGCCTGGAGCTACAGAGAGATCTGCAGATTCCTCCTCTTTGTGTCAGGTTTGGCAGTGTCCAGATGAGGCCCCAGCTGTGAAGCAAGGCAGGTTGGTGCCTGGTCTTGGGCCTTTTATTGTTAGGTTTATGGCTTCCTGACCCAGCTGCAGCTTGTTTGACAGGTTTTAGCCCAAGGAGAGGTCATTCATATGAAAAACCTGCTGCACTCAGCTGGTTGGGGTTATTAATTGGACGGGGTGGGGTCTCAGGGAATCACCAGGGTGGAGTAAACAGAACCAGGGAGGTCCAAGCGGAGGAACAATGACAGTTGTGAGCACCTCCGTCTGGAAGAAAGCCACCCCTGAGTTCCTGCCCGGATGCCAGGTAGTTCAGTTTCTCCTTATATGGGTCGAGGTCATCCAGAGCCTTGCCCTGGTGCTGGATTTCAGAGGAAGTGAGAGCTTATAAATTCAGTTGGTGTGCTGGCCTTTTAAGAGAAACAGTTGTGTATCTAGCAGCCTCTGTGCCACTTGAGCCCCAATCCGCACTGGTTTTTATAGCCTGTCGTTCTTACTGCCTATGGGGACTTCTTTTCCCAGCTCTGGGACCCTGGGCTGGGGGTCTGGTGTGGGGCTGAGACCCCTTCCTCCTCCCGTGGCCTCTGCAGAGACTATCTCCCTCCTGGTTAAAAAGCAGCACAACTGAGTGCCTGACCAGCCCGTTCCTTGCCTCCACACCTCCTTTCAATCTCAGTGCGCTGCCTTCTTTACTTCTCTAATTGTAGACTTCCATTAAGCTAGCTTTCTGGTGGTTCTGGATGATGATTGTTCTGTATTTTAGTTGTAATTTTGATGTGGTTGTGAGAGGGAGCAAGCATAGGCGCTTGGCTATGCCACCATCTTGGTTCTCCTCCTATTCTTAATTTTTTGAGGAATTGCCATGCCAGACTGTTTTCCATAATGGCTGTACCAGTCTACATTCCCACAAGCAGTCAATAAGGGTTTGCTTTTCTCCACAACATCTCCAAACCTTGTTATTACTTGTCTTGATGATAATAGCCATTTTAACAGGTGTGAAGTGATATCTCATTGTAGTTTTGATTTGTATTTTCCTAATAGTTAATGAAGTTAAACGTCTTTTCATCTATCTGTTGCTCATTTGTATGTCTTCTTAGGAGAGGCGTCTGTTCAGGTCCTCTGCCCATATTTTTTGTTTTGTTAATCCTCACCTGAGGATATTTTTCCCATTGATTTTTTTTTAGAGAGAATGGAAGGGAAGGTGAGAGAGAAACATTGATATGAAAGAGACACATCAATTGGTTGCCTCCCGCACCCTGAGTAGGGCCAGGGACTGAACCTGTAACTGAGATATGTACTCCTTGACCAGAATCTAACCTGAGACCCTTCAGTCCATAGGCCAACACTCCAACCACTGAACCAAACCAGTTAGGGCTGCTCATTTTTAAACTGGATTCTCTTTGTTTGGTGTTGAGTTACATGAGTTCTTTATACTGTATTTTGGATATTAACCCCTTATCAGAGCTATTGTTGGCAAATATCTACTCCCTTTCTGTTGGCTACCCTTTTATTTTTTGTTGGTTTCTTTTGCTATGTAGAAGCTTTTATGTTTTATATAGTCTCATTTACTTATTTCTGCCTTTCCTTCCCTCTCTGTTGGGGTCAAGTTCATAAAATGTTCTCCATGACCAAGGTCCATATATTTAATACCTATGTTTTCTACTGTTATTTATTATTTTAGATTTTATATAAGGTCTTTGATCCATTTTGAATTACATTTTCTACATGAGGACAAACTGTAATCTAGTTTGAGTATGACAAACAGCTAGGGTGGGATATACTACCCTATTTCCCCAAAAATAAGACAGTGTCTTATATTAATTTTTTCTCCCAAAGTTGCACTAGGTCTTATTTTCAGGGGATGTCTTATCTTTCCATGCGCTAGGTCTTATTTTTGGAGGATGTTTTATTTTCGGGGAAACACGGTAGTAGTAAGTGCCTGCCTCCATTCTTTGACTTCTTTTTTATGGATATGGCACATGGAAAACACTCAGAAGGGCATTCGAGACTAGATCTTCCTCATGCTGTATTCTCAAAAGGTTTGGATGAAAAGAGGCTAGAGAAATGTGGATTTCAAGATAGAAAATAAGCCAGAAGACACTAGG